GGAGGGGTTGGCGGTGGGGTGGGGGTCGGGGCTCAGCATGTCACATCATGCGACTCCGGTAACACACACCGGGAGTGGTGGGAATTCAGTGTGGGATTACTGAAATGGGTGATTACTTAAGTAATTAATGCATTTGATGCACATTGATGCCATAACGGCGAGCGTTAGCATGCAGTACACCATAAGTGTACTGCATTGCATTGAAAATAATGGGTGTGGGTGCCTGTGTGCATTGCCCTTAAGAGATTTTTTTTGTGAACTTTAAGCATAAACATAAAATGATAATCCCATGATATAAACTAGATTATTTTGCTTCTAGATTATAATTAAGATGCTCTCTAACAATTGAAGCTGGGGACAACAGTCCATGGTGGATCATGCAGATAACTGTTTGTTACCACCTGTTCATTGTAGCTCCACAGGATTTTACTGTTTGTGATGTTGAATTAGCAACACAGAGCAGGTATAACAGAGATTCTGCTAAGCATAAACAAGAATGTCATTAGAATATTATTAGCATTTTGAAGAAATACCCAGGGTCCTTTATTATAAACAGTTTCAACACAAGCTTAATGAATTCATTTTCTCCAAACAAAAAACATAAAGGCAAAGATCCTGTGCTCTGCAATTCAACACCAGGCTTCATCAATTTAAGGTCAATCAAATGAAAAAGTACACAAATGGAAAATGTTGCATAAGCTTTTGTAATGTAGATCGTCCCACTTTCATTTGCTGGCTTTAACCTGGTAGAACCTCCACATGGGTAAATACTGTTCTGCTACAGTAAATATGTGTACAAGAATAAAGAGAGCAAAAACAGGGCTGAACAGATGGGAAGCGAAGTAGTCGACAAAGAACGCTCCGCACTCAGGCTGTGCCACAATGTATGTACTGTCTGTGTATATGTGCATGTGTTAGTGTGTATGTGTGTGGGTCTATATGGGTGTACTATATAGGGATCACTCTTTTACCAACTAAAGACCGGTTTATAAGTTACACTTAGAGTTACTCTGCTCAGCTGAATGAGAGAAACTGTCTCACATGTGAAATCATATTTTAAACTACTGATTTAAACTCTACAATTTACATCAGTAAAAGTAAGGAGGAGATCATCACATGTTTCATCTTTTAAAGTCCCAATCCCAGATTTATTTGACCACATTTTACCACATTTCTCTTTTTCAGCAAATAGACTGGGGCTTTAAAAAGCAATGTCAAAAATTTGACATTTCATTTGAGTCCCACCTCTGTAGCAGAGCTTGGCCCTGCTGGTACTTTAAAGTCTGCCTCCAGTGAGGGTTGAGATAATGCAGCTAGTTTATACACAGAAATAAGAAGAAAAAAAAACATTTTAAAAGCTCCAGACAGAACTTCTGACAACAGAAGCTGGACAAACTAACTAGGCTCATAGCTAAAGGCAGCATGCATGCACATCACAAATTAGGATGTTTAAACAAAAGCACAACTCTGCAAACATGGTACTATTTTATATGATTGTTAGTCGTTTTGACAACACATACACTGCTTTCACGTCAAATGAGTTCTGAATTAGCTTATTTCATTTCTAAAGAAATACAAATCTAAGGTGTGAATACCCCAACTAAAACATTAGCTTTCTTTTGTGTTCAGCTTTCACTTATATGTTCTTCATAGATATTTTTTCTACTGTATATTCATATAATCACATCAACAAGATGGTTCCTCTTGAAGTGCCAATTTAAGTGCTCCAGTCTGAAGGGGTCTGAAACAAAGACAAAGGTCCTAATTGAAGTGCTAAATTTCTCAAAGCGCCTGCAGCTGAAAACAAAGTACCCGAATAAAGTCAGATCACTGTTTTTCTTTTTGTCAGTAGATGTTTGTCTTATTCAGGATCAATTTGGAAAAAATATTAAAGTATCCATCACATCACTGCACTTTTTTGCCATTTCCAAATATCAAGCGGCAAAAAAGCATGTCTGCAAGAGTGTGCACAAATAGCATCTTTAAATACTGATAAGAAATAGGATTACAGAAAAACACAAGGCAAAACAGTTTTTTTTTCACATTTAAAGAGGAGTCAAAGGTGGAGAGGAACTGGCCTGAGCCACACCTTACAAACACATCTTGAATGTCTTAGCTTTTATACATGCATGGGGCTGAAATTTTTACGTGTTGATGCATGTGTCTGTATGTACTGTATGCGTGTGTCTACGTGTGTATCAACCTGATTTCCTGAGTATAAGAACCCACCATGATGGGGAATATTAGCTAGGCAGGACAGGAAACAGCAAAGCAAAGATTTTCCCTTAGCAAAAAGGTGCTTGATAAAACCCCAGTGAAAAAGAAACATCTAAGTGTCTACCTGTACAGAATCACTGTTACAGTCATCATGCTCCATTCATGCTCCATACTATATACATTTCTGCCAAACAAGCACTTGAAAGTCACCATTACAACATCCAAATACAATGGTATTGCTGATGAGTGGGCAATAAAAATAGTCATTTAACCGCCAGCAAAAACTTTTTTCCTTTCAATTCAGTGCTGAGGAAGGCAAAGGAGGAATGTTTTCGGATACAGCCTGTACAAAGTTCTCCTGTACACAAATACACATGTGAGACATTTGAAGACATTTTTGCATATGAACATTTTAAAGTTTGACTGCATTATGACGTCCTCATGTACAGAAGCTGTATTCGCATTTTTCATGAATCAGGTTGAACATTCAGAGGATTTTTTTTTTCCTGAGTTTGAATTGCTGTGACGAAAAGGGCCACTAAGATAGAACAAGAACAAAAACACACACACATAGAGAGAGAGAGAGAGGTAGAGAAGACAGAGACGAACTGTGGAAAAAGAGGAAATGTGACAGAGAAAGACAGAAACAGAAACACTGGGTACAGAGAGAGACAAAAAGCTGCTGTTTAGGTCCAATGAGGTTCAACTTTGAGTTGTAATGAGTGATACATGAAGAGCAGAGTCTCCGCTGTAGAAGTCGCTGCTAGGGTGAATGTAGCACCATTGTGAGGGTTTGGTGAGAAGCTCCCACTCTGTCATGATAGGAAGAAAATACCTGGAGAACAATATTGCTGCTGTTAAGACAACTTTAGTGTCAATCATTCAAAACAACAACAAAAAAAGACAGCACAAAAAGACATAAATACAAAGAAAGCTTGGTTTTCAGTGAACACTGGGCGAGGCTGACGTCTCAACAACCCGAGACAGGGTTTGTCTGAAAAGTAAAATTAAATAATAAAAAAACATCAAAAACAACATTGAGAACCATCACTACTTAGTACAGTCCTTCCTTGGCTGCTCATCAGTTGTACATTTGTCAGTCATTTCCTGACAAAAATCAACTGTTACCGTCTGGTTAGATTTTTCTGTGAACAGCCCTGCCTGTGTGTTCAAGCTGCCATCTTGGCTGTCCAAATCTTTGTCCGCTCCATTCCTGACAGATGAGTCAGGCTCACTCTCCGAGGGGCCTGGTGACCCGTGGAAGCTGGGCTCCGGGGTGACCGAGCCCGAGGGGGTAGTGAGGTCAATGCTGGTGGTGTTGGTGGCGGTGGCGGCAGGGCTGCAGGCAGGCTTGGGCTCATGGGCAGCATTGTTGCTGGCAGTGGAGTTGGCAGGACGGAGCACTGGGCAATAGTGGTGTAAAGACTGGACCTGTTCTGGGCTCAGCTGGACATCCCTGCACACCTCCTGGGACAGGCAGGAGAAGTTCTCCCACAGCTCACCCATACATGCCTTCAGCTGGTTCCTCTCAGTCAGCAGCTTCTCCTTCTCACACACCTGCACGCACACACACACACACAGAGTGAAAGAATGGGACTGATTTTAAAAGTGCAGCCAAAAATGTCCAGTGAGTCCACTTTAAATGCCACCACACAAGCAATGACAGTGTGCATGACCAAGCCACATACTCAGTATGGTTTCCAGAGGGCACTCTGATGGTGTGAAAGTGCTGACAGAATCACATTATCATTTCCTTGGTTGAGGTAACGTCTAGCGCAGAGAGGCGAGTTGGTGACAGTGCTGCTGGAAGCAGTCAACTCACCAGTTTTCTGATCTCACACTCCAGGTTCAGGATGCAGTCGAGCTTCCTCTTGCGGCAGCGCTGTGCCGCGATGCGGTTCTTACTCCGCCGCCTCACATCGTGGATGAACTCGAGCTGCTCTGAAGTCAGTTTGTGCATTTTTACCAACATTTGGAAGTCATTCCGTGGAAGATTTGTGATTTGATCGACAGGGAAAGGGAGCTTCACCTGGAAAAGATAGAAAAAGATTAGACATCAGTTATGACACGGATGTAATTTTGTTTATTATTCATTATTAAGATGCATGGAAGTACCAGGTTCATCTTTATTTGTACGGAGCTGAAGTGTGGCACTGGAATAATTATAAACTTTGACAGTGTTTATTCCATGATTTCATTTAAATGTGCAAAAACTACATTATTAATTTCGTTTAATCAATTAATGGTGCATTATTTAACTTTTAATTATTGTAGTTGGAAATGAAAAAGCCTTTGTAAAGCAAATTTGGTGATTCCATTTTAAAATCTAAAGGCCCACACCCACACAGGTGTTCTGAGTCACGTTCACCAATTAGACTTCTGCTAAGGTAGAGTGGAGCTTTCTGGGGTTTACAGGAGGCCACCGCAAATTATCACTCGACTATCAGGTGCAATAAAACCATCAGGAGACTGGAGGGCATGTCAGCCAGTCTGTGCACTTACACAAAGACCTGAGAAATGATCTGATCAGCTGAAATAAGTGGCATCACCTGTGTAGGTGTGCAGTTTGTGTGCCTTGATACAAAGATGTTATCTATTATTTTGAGTTCATAAATCCACTGTTTGAAATTGCACACTGCACTGCTTTCCAAATGGGATTCCAATACATTTTTGGATTTTTATTTATTTATTTATTTTTATTTATTTATTTTTTTTACATTTGCCTATAATACTCGGTTTAATATTTCTCTAGAGGTATATTACTGGTAGTGTGGAAGGGGCCTGACTACCTCCTTTTGTGGGAATCATGACCTCAGTATTTCTATGATCCTACTACTGTTCTGAGAACATGACGCCCTCCTCCTGTCCAGGTCAACTTTAAACAACAGAGCTGTCTACACGGGCAGCATTGTGGCTCATGGGTGACTACTAGACATGGTACTGTATGTACTGTTGGTGGTGATCATGAAGAATAAAATACAACTTTCTATATTGCTGATAGCTGATTTCTATATTTATGTCTTAATAAAGGGGTGTGGCCAGACCAGGTCAAACATGATGCTTTTTAAGTCTAAAGGACATAATTTCTGGATTTTCTCTGTTGCCTGTAATCAACACTGTAGATTAGACCAAAATTAATGGATAACATAATTAAGTGGCTGTGTATTTTATTATAAATTTCAAACGCATGAATCTGCTGTTATTACTTTAAATAAAGAACCTAGAATTTCTTTTATCTTACATCATTCTAATTGTAAGTTTTATTTTGTGGCATAAAGCTGCAGCCTCTTCTGCATAATCTATGTCTCAATTTTATAACAAAGGCAAATGACTGTACAGAATACACTTGATATAGGACAGTTGTTACATTCCACCACAAGATGGCACAAGCACCACTCCAGAGGCCTCACTAAACTAGACTCGGTCTCAGATATAGCATATTCTCAAGCAGAGGGGAAAAGGTGATCCAAGCAGAGTCCCTCTCCATCTGTCCTGGAAGTGTGCCAGTATGACAGATTGAGGGGGGCAGTGACTTGTCACCCTGATCCAAATCAGTGTCAAGATATTTCTGGGGTCAGTAGTCTTCACAGGCTGCAGAACAAAAGAATTAGTGGAATAAATGCAGAAGTGCTTTGGCAGTACAAAGCAAAATCAGAAAACCACTGATATGACAACATATCAAGGTTGTATGTGCTTATTCTCTTGATCTCAGCCTGGAGAACAACAGTAATTCATCTTCTCTCCCCCAGGTGATGGCAAACCTTATGATATGCGCATCACAGGCAGATCCACCTCAGCAGTATGTATGTGCACCAGGGAGCTTTAGCTTTAGGCAGCAAGGGAAGCAGTGGAGGCACAACAAAGAACCAGAGGAAGGCAGCCGTAGAGCTTGGCAGAGACGAGACGAGCTGCAGCTCTGTCTTTCTCCTCTCCTTCTCCCTTTGTGGCTGCCTCTGAAGAACAAAGTCAAACAAAGGAGAAAGAGAGGAGAAAAAGGAGCAAGCGATGCGACTGCACACTTCCACTGTACCTCGGTGCTCAAGCGGGGTCCAGATCTGCCTAAATGTTAAGATCGCTGCAGGCAGAGGTTGCGAGAGAGGCCACCAGACAGTGGTGTAAGTGCCACACTCAGGGGGTAAAGTAAGGTGCCTACTCATGACAGAATCCAAATTCCTCCTCCTGAAAAGCAAATCTAGACGTCCATCTATCTTTGTGTGACAAAATGGCTTGAGTCTCCTCATTAGAAGTGCAGCCCTCTGAGCCACCAGGAGCCCTAGTTCTGATCTCAGCTCAACATCCGCATGCAAACATCCATCCATCTTCATCCGCTTCATCCGAGACCCGGACCCGGGCATGTCAGCCAGTCTGTGCACTTACACAAAGACCTGAGAAGCGATCTGATCAGCTGAAATAAATAATGACCCAAACTTTCAAGGCCACACTCGTTACATTCTCACTACTTTGCCAGGGCATAACAGCTCTAACCTCAAAGAGAGGCATGGGGAGAGCTATAAACTTCTGTATGAGCTGCCAGGAGAAGATTTCTGTGCTTAGTTAGCTTGTGTACTATAATGCACAGCAGTTTAAATACCACAGAATCTGATATGATCTTTGCCTAGAAAAACAAGGAAGAAGGACACGCTGCATCCTTGTGCTGCCCTCTTTCTCCCCTTCACCCACCAGTCACTGGTACGCAGGGGATGGCTAAATTTAGCTCTCCAACATGAGAACCAGTTTAGCAGTAAGGCTGGGATGACAGAGTACACTTCAGTGCTGGTCATAAATTCACACCCAGCTTTTCTGGATTTATATGTATTTCTCAATTCATTTCTCCACCCTACCCTCAGTCACTCTCTTTGTCTGGGCCATTATGCTGCAAATGGGGTGCAGAGTAAAAAGTAGGGCTCATCTGTTATCAGGACCAGAGCTGTGCTGGGCCTCAGCCCTGACACAAATAATGGATGTTCCAGTTTCAAATTCAGCCTCAAAAAGCAATGTGAAACAAGAGAAAGATTCAGTCAAAGAGGTGAGATGATCATTTTCATCTCCTGAAGGAGTTTTTCTTTCACTATGTTCTGGTGTATTTATTTTCATACACCGGGGATAAACTGTCTGATCTTCTGACTGCTTGTGTTTTTGTCCTTTTGGACTTTTTTTTTTTTAGCAATGATGGAACATGATAGAATGGATGAATTTCACAGCTACATTTATGGACCAGACGACAGCAAGAATCTACAAAAGCAACAACAAAGAAGAATTTGTCTTTTAAAAGGAACAGTCTGACACTTTGGGAAATATGTTCTTTGTTTCTTATCTTACCCAGGATCAGATTAAAAGATTCACGGTGTACTGCCTCTGTGCACTTGGATGTGTTTAGACTGGCTTATTACACAAAAATATTGAACTGTTACTTTAAAACAAAGCCTACTTATAATGCCTCACCACTATAGTTTCTTCATTTAAAACCATCACTTATGTTAATTCTCTCCAACAGAGAGATAAGAATATCAATCTTTGTGCCTTCAGTACAAAGCTAGAGGTGGTTGGCTTAGCTTAGCCCAAAGACTGGAAACAGAATGAAACAGCTAGCTCTAGCTCTGTTTACACTGATAAAAGTACTACCAATACTTCTATAGCCCATCAACTAACAAGATGTTGTAATCTATTTGTTTCACCTGTACACACAGGAATGTAAAAATGAGCAGCCCATTGCAGTTTTAGGGGGCGTTACATGCTGGAACAGACAGGTGGAGTGACTGTGTGCAGCTTCCTGGAGTCTTGTCAACGGTGAGGTTATCACATTTACTGCCATCATGCCTGAAGAGAGAGCACAACCAAAACCTCTGTGTTCACTGACCTGGTATCTGTTGATAGAAGCTCTAGCTGAAGTTACTGCAAAATACACTATATTGAATGGATGGATAAACTGTTTTTGACAAGAGACAGTTTCAGCATGTAACTCCCTCAAAAACCACTGTCATTTTTACAGTTCTGTTTCTCTTTGTGTGTTGATTAAACAAACAAGACAAAAGGTGTGAGCTAGTTAGTGGTCTTATCCAGATCTGTCAGATTTTTCACTTGAAAACAACTGTTTGGTTTTACGTGGAGGTGTGATCACTGGTTAAGTAGGTTGTCTTTCCAGTGTGAGTGAAGCTGGCCTGCAGCAGGTGGAGAAGCCTCAGCATTCACCTCATTCCCACAAAAACATATTCTCTCTGCAGCAGGTTCACACAATACCCCTAGCAGTTTGCTTTAAAGCTGAAGGAATTTTCTACAATGATTGCTGCCTGACACCTCTGTAATACTTGTCCCTTACCTAATCCACACTAGAATAAGATCTTATAGTGAATGTTTAATACTATCTCTGCAATTAATCCTGTTACATCTCACATGCCTGTAGACATGATTATAAAGGAATATCACACACACATCTTAATAAAGATAAGGTTAAGTGGCTCAGTTGTGCTAGTTCTGCCCTGAGGGATAAAGTAATAATTTGCAACATTTTGCAGAGAAATGGCTGTTTTCAACAAAACAGCTCTTGTGCTGGATGATGTAATCATGAATCATTTCCACCTGTATCAGCTTCATAGAAACATTTTATCTGTACATAGATTCTGTATATACTCTATATTCTATAAATTCTATTTATTTATGTTAGAGGCATTGAGGCATGTACATATTTTTGTGGCAAATTCTTTTTACATTACTGGTAGCAGCTACTGCAACTCGTGTGGAATAAACACATGAACAAATGTGGAGTGAAAAAAGTGTCAGACAACAATTTGATGGAGTACTGGAGCTCAGGACCCAAGTGTGATTCTTGGTGTACCAGTGCTAAAGTAATCCCACATCAAACTGGCTCTTCAGGGCGGATTGTTTGGGTTGAAATGTTTGTGTGGAAGTAAGCTATAGTAAGGCTGAGGTTAAGAGTTTGATTAAAAGGAAACTGAAAGTGAAATGACAAGAACTGAGGGATAAAGATGGCAAAGGTTAGCTCTATTATAACATTCAAAGGAAAGTAGGAGA